AAAAAAAAAAAAAAAAAAAAAAAAAAAAGCTAGTAACAGTCACTGAACGTCTAATTGTAAGGACTATAACTGTTTGCAATGTCTCCAAGAAAATATACTTCTAAGCTGTTCAACACAGGTGATGTATCTGCTGAGATTTTTAGAGTAGTTGGTTGCCATTCTTTTTGACAGCAGAACCACTATTATCATTATGAATACTATGAATGTAATCTAAAATACTATTTGAGTCTCTGCTTTCCTATTCCTTCCATGTTAACCTCCTATCCCTTTATTTCAAGCCTTTTCCTAAAGGAGCAAATAGGTATCCCACCAGTACAAACGGTAGGTGGCTCTCTTCTTAGAACATTTTCAAGGCCCATATGTGCCACGCATGAAAAGATGCTCTGGCCTGTGAGAGTCTGTGAAGGCTAAGAAGAGCACAGGAAGGCAAGTCTAGTCTCAAGCTCTGTGAGGCTTACATCTCTTGTATTGCTTATCCAGTCTGCCTATTCTTCTGTTGTTTATCCAGTCTGCAACAAATCGCAGTAGTGTCAGGTCCTACGTGGAAAAACAACGAATGATAAAGGCTGGAATCAAATAGAAACCTGAAAATACTGTAGCTTCCAACCTAGAATGCAAAGCTGCTGAAATATACTCAAACAAACGTTAAGAGGTGATGTAATATAGTCCATAAGTACCGATAGGAGGGGAAATTCCACAATGCATTTAAGAGGTACTGTGTTGGGGTATTTTTGTTTGTTTGTTTGTTTTCCCTGAGTTTCTTCCTCTGTTCAGTTCAACAACTTTTTTGTTCCAGTGCCAAGGCCCTCTTTGAGAGGTTGAGGGGAGAGCGAGAGTAATTAAAGCTTTGTAAAGGTGTCTGTTTGAGGCCAGGCACTTGGTCCTTCTTTGACATGTTTTAATGTGTCCTTCCAATAGCCCTTTGCCTGGAAGAAGAGAAAGTAAACATATATTTCCAGGAAAGGCATCAGCATGGAGTCACAGCAGCTGGGAAATGGCAGGGTGCCCTCAGAAAGTTAGGGGAGTAATTTATTTTTCCAGCCTCACTACAGGAGCTGAAACCTTGGCAGATGCCTCCATGTGTTAGTAGAGACTAAGCTGAGTGAGATCATTATTAATTATTAGTCATTTTTAGTGTCTTTCTCAGAAATTGCCGAGTACTTGGGAAGCTCAGACCTTCCTGAGTTGCAATCAATACTGTATACACCTTGCATGGAGACCTGAGTGACATGTAATTATAAAACAGGATTGATTCCTGGCAAAGGAGTTGAAAATGTGCAAATCCTTCACATAAAAATCAGTTCCATCTTCAAAAGGTTTGATTGTTCTTTTCTCCCACAAAGAGACCAGTGGTTGGAGTTAAAAACTTGAAATGTTAGTTAAATTAGGGCTATTTCCTGCCAGGAACCAGATATGTACACATAATTATTAAATTCTCTGGACTGGCACTAATTTACTTTAGTTGAGTGTTGGAAATGTCTCTGTTTTGGGTCTGTAATCCAAATTTTTCAGTCGGTTCCTATGATAATGTTTTCTTTTCATGTCCTCCTGTATTATTTTTCTACACAATAAATAATTGCATGTCTGGACCAACATGCCACTGTTTTTCCTGTTCTTTTCTGTCACACTATCCAGCATATCTGTTAGCTAAGGGCTCCCCCCATTCTTACAGGCTCCATTGTCATCACCAAACTCTGCCTATTTTATTTGGCCTGTTTCTAATTTCTCCTTCTAACTTGGCTCCCACTTCAGTCCTGTTAGAGTGACCAGAAATCTGGGGAGTTTTCACTCTTTCTTCCTTTTGGCTGCAACTCCATCCTAAGCAGTGGTTATAAGCAGGGACTCTCAGGCTGCCTTTCTTATACCATTGATGCCCGTTATTTCATGCCTAGATCCATGGGAGCTCTTGAGTGCTTTTTAGCTTCCAGTCTTGGCCCCCTCCAATGGGGCATCTGAGAATGAAAGTCTGATTGTATGATTTGGCCTCATGAAGCCCTCCAGTGGCTTCCTATCGCCTGCAATCTAAGATGGACACGTAATTGTCAATCTGGAAATGATAGATTCCTAGTCTCAGAAGATGCAGCTTATCTCTGAGGACTCAGAGGTTATTGGGAGACAGCAGATCTGGAGGACTGCCGTGAGGGCTGTGGAGGGAAGACTTCCTCAGGAGCTTCTTGGCATCTGAATCTGTATTGTTGGTTTAGCTGTGACTGCGACAGAGAGCTTTGTACAAAAACTCTTCCCCTGGTTGTATAGAGCTGGTTTGTCAGTGTGGTACAGACATGATCCACTTTACTCCAGGCACCTTGTGCTTCTTCAGCCATGTAGCAAAGGTTGTTGAGAATGCAACAAGAGAATGGGCCCCAGTCTGTTCCCTACAGGGATATGACATAAAGGCTCCAGCCTTTCTCAAAATGTGTGCTAAGGCCATGCTGCATGAGAAGATATTCTGCATCTTGTGACAATCCTGCATGTTGCAGGATGTTTGACTTCACTGGCCCCTTGTGCTAGATGACAGTCATTTTCCCCAGATGCTGGGACAGCCAAAACAATCCTTGGGTACCCAAATGTGACAGACATGAGAAAAGAGAACCACTGGCTTCTATAACTGTGTGGCATAGTTCTAACTTCTAAAATCGTCTCTTTCCCTGAGAGCATGATGAAAAGCCAGATTAATTTGGGACCTTTCCATCACTCTTTTCCCTTCATTTACTGTTACGGTTGAGCTTAGGTGTGAATGTCATATCGCTGGCTTTGCAGTCAAGCTCCATCAGTGACAGGGCGCGGCCTTGAACAATTACTTAACCCCCCTATGCTTCTATTTTCTCATTTTAAAAATATCTAGTAAGAAGCATGTAAGGTGCTCAAACCCTGTCCACTGTCAGGGCCAAGGTAACTGTGAGATGATGATGGCAGTGGTCGTGATGATCCTGCTGATTCCTGAGCATAAAAGTCTTCTGTAAGTTAAAAGTTGGCGTTGGCTTAAATGAATGCTCCAGAAAACAAAGAGGCAGCTTGGTACATGAAAGAGGGTAGTTGTCTGGGTGGGAGTCAGTAACTTCTGTGCACTTTCAGCCATTAGTTGCTATCTGGCCTTGGATGTATCACTTCACTTCTCTGATTCTTTTGTTCTCTATAAAATGTTTGTGTTACTTGGTGTTAAATATGTCAAATGGCATAAGCATTGAGAAGCTGTCTCATAGTTTGATGATGTGTAATCTGGGTCTTCTGTCTTCTGTGTGACAGTAAGAGTTTGTAACAATGTTTTTTCTTCTGTGAATACCAAGGCAATGAAAATCAGATAGAAATAAACAAATGTGTTAAACCTATTAAGCATGGGTACTTCCTATCCCTGATTTGAAAATCTCTCCCTCCACTGGGAGAGCACACACAGTAGGAGCTTTGTGGTCAGGGTTCACTTAGGTGATAAATGGCAGGGTGTTCTGCATGACCTTGAATCTCTCCCTGCACCTCCCCATCCCCGTATGCCCCCAAGTAGCCCAGGAGAGAAGAGCCCCAGGACAGTTAGGTTTCTCTTCCTAGGAACTCGTGTCTGCAGTTGGCCAGCCCTCCCTGCTCATTTCCCAACACCCTCAGTACTTCCAGCTGTCACCATCATGGCTATCTGTTTGTTGCCCCACAGCAACAAAGGCGAGAGAAGGAGCTGCGAAAGCAGCAGGAGCGGGAGCAACGCCGGCATTATGAGGAGCAGATGCGCAGGGAGGAGGAGAGGAGGCGCGCAGAGCATGAGCAGGTAAGGCATGAGAGCCCCATGCAGGCCGTGGTGAACTCTGTACTAGGCATCTCTGGGATGAGGGTCGCCTCCTTCTAGGATGGCTCAGTTATGGTTTTCATTATTTCTCAAGCAACTGTTCTCACCTATTCAACAAGTCAAATGAACAATTTTGGCAATGCCCATTCTATTCAACCTTGCTTCCTCCCCAGGCCAGAGTCCCCTGATGTGCCTGGATCTTCTGACTTCCCAGCCATGGGTTTCTGATTGAAAGGTAGCACTGAAGCATGAAAATGAAATAACTCCTACTCTTCCACTGCTTCAGAAGAGCCTCTCTATTCCTGCAAACTCTGTTCTCTGTGACTTTGAGTCATTGACACAGGCCCCTCTTTCTTTGGAGAATCGCATCCTGACAAATGAAACTGCAGGCTGGTTATGTTGCAGTGACAGGGCACGATGGCATCCCATGATTATTTTATCCCTGCTGCTCACACAGGAGCCTTGGGACTTTATAGCATTGTTAATTCTAGGTAGTCTATAAAGAGAGGAGCCTATAATGAAAAACTTTAAAATGTGGCTGGGTTTATTAATGCCAAGTAGTTATAGTAAAATGCTGAGCCATCTCAGCTGACTTTTGCAAGCAGAGGGCTTGTGCTTCTGACTCCATTGAAAGGCTTGGCTTTGTTGTGGCATACTCTTTCTGTTTTATGAGGAGGTGTTGGAGTGTTTTTTCCCCTCCTTCCTTCTACACTTTGTTTGGCAGCTCTTAGCACTTTTGAAATTACTGGTTCTTTTTCTCTCTTTCTCTTTCTGTTCTTCCGAATTCTCTGCTGCCTACCTCTCCAGGAATACATCAGGCGACAGTTAGAGGAGGAGCAAAGACAGTTAGAGATCTTGCAGCAGCAGCTACTGCATGAACAAGCTCTACTTCTGGTAATGGGAAAGCCATGGGCTAGCGGACCTGCTCTGTGCTCATCCTGTGTGTGTCTGTGTGTCCTCCTCCTAACGCGCCACCCCAAAAGAGGGGCTCTGCATGGACCTCAAAATCTCACAGAAACTCAGTACATCTCCTGACCCATTCTGCCAAGTTATGATACACTTAATATTTAGCTGCTATCCATTCTTTATTAACTCCATCTATTTAGGAAACTTTAACATGAATCCAGCCTTAGTCTAAGTCCAGATTGCGATTGAGACCCACTGTGTTTATTGTACAGTAACTTTGAGGCCATTTGCAACATCCTGGAGCACAATCACAGCACAATGCCCTCTTCCACAAGAACCCACTCTCCTCTGCAGTCATATTTCATCTGCAGACTCTTAGCTTTACTCTTACGATAGGAACATTTTGTGTTCCCTGAGCATGTGGCGTCCACTTGAAGTACTTTTTTATTATTATTGTTTTGCTCTCCAAATGGGCGTCTTCATGTATTTTTTTTATGGAACTTTTTATTTGGTGGCATTTTGATATTTTTTAGCCTGTACATAAGCTTGCTAATGGTTTCTGTCTATCCAAAATTTATTAAACAAAAGACGATTTAGGTACTGTCTCTGGCAGTTTATTTAGCTTTGTACTTAATTATGCATGTTTGAATGATTTAATTACTAAATTAGGAAGTGTATGACTCCTTGTAGTGGTTGTGTGCCAACCACCCAAATGTCCTCATTATTGCCATTTTCTCCGTTGCAATTCATCAGGGACAAGTCATTTTCCAAGTGGTGTTGTTCCGTAAGCAATAATGCTTTCATTAAATGACACGTTCTTGCATGGATATCAGTGTAAGACTAGAGTTAATTTCTGTGCACACCCTGACATTCTCCAGTAGTTCCATTTGAATGTAAGGTCATTCATTACTTAGCCTCATTTTACTTCCATTGCATGCTTTACTCCTACTGCCCAGTGGTTTCCCTGTGGTAATTTGGCCCTTTCTTTGCTCTTCTTTCCTGATCTGGGCAGGAATATAAGCGCAAGCAATTGGAAGAACAGAGACAAGCAGAAAGGCTACAGAGACAGCTAAAGCAAGAGAGAGACTATTTAGTTTCTCTTCAGCATCAGCGGCAGGAGCAGAGGCCCCTGGAGAAGAAGCCACTGTACCATTACAAGGAAGGGATGAGTCCTAGTGAGAAGCCAGCATGGGCCAAGGAGGTGAGTAAATGAGAGTGGCCACATCTTGTTAACCAGGCTTTCAACCATCATGAGCTCACCCACAAGTGAAGAGTTTAACCTACACTGTGTAGTTGGATGAGGTTCATGGAAAGACATGCTTTGCTCTTTGAAATAACATGGCATCATTTCTGTAGACAAATAACAAGGTGTCTTTATTCCACCTGTGGTGTGTGTGTGTGTGTGAGTGTGTGTGTGTGTGTCTTTGTAGATACAGTGGATTTTTGTAGGCAACCGCAGGAAGTAGAAAAATCTTTTTCCTCATTTGAGTCCAGGTGACTTTGTGACATGAGGATTTTTAGTGACTCTCCCTTGGAACTATGTGATGTGGGATTTGGGAGATTCTAGGCAGAATCATTTCCTGTATTTAAAAATCTAACTAAAAGCTATTTGAAAAAGAGATGATTACTAAATAAGAAAACAAACAAAATTGTAATTCCAATCAAGATCAACCAACCTTTCAGAAGTCACTGTGTCAGGATGTAGATGGTACTCTGGTTTTCTTTTATGTCATTATTTGTGTCACCTAGTGATTTCTTTTATCTTCTCTTGACCATAGCTAGTCATTTAAAAGGATGTTTGGGGTTAGTTCATATTTTTATCTAGCTTCATTAGGTATTAGTAGGTAGTTTTTTTTTCAAGTTATCTAGACTATAATATCACCAAATCCAAATTTCTTACAAAAGATCCTATTTTTACCAATTTTAAAATTTTTCTATCCTATTTTATGTATATATAGAAAATTCTTGAAATGATGCTGTCCTATTGCTAATTATGGTGGTTATAGGAAGTGGAAATTTGAAAATTGATTTTCTTCTTAAAGTTTTTTATATCTTTATATGTTTTATAAACTCTTTGTAATGATCACACACTATTGTAATGAAAATAACCTTTTTCTTTTACAAATTAAAAATACTAAATCTGGAAAGAAAATTATTTTGATTTCAGACAAGGAACACTTTTGGTCACTTTCTCTTACAGTCTATAAACATGATTCATACTTACTCCTGTTACAGCTGCCTATTTCTCTTAAGCAGTAATTCACTTTTGTGATCTTACTCCCAGGTAGAGCAATGACCCCTTAAAAGTTCACTTGCACTACCAATCTAGCAGAATCATTATGCTGCTAAGCAGCAGTTGACCTGTCTCCTAGCTGTTGGGGTACACCATTTTCCTACACTGATAAGGCATTTTCTACCCATGCCAAGTAGAAATCCTTGGATAAGCCAGACACACAGGTCTTAACCACAGAAGGTACTTAGAAAGGTGAGAAACTGGCCACTACAAAGCTAAGGCCAGTAGCACCTTCAGGGATAAACAATTCCAGATCAAAACTCCTTTTGAGCATCACTTTCAGAAGAAACAGGGACCAGCTTTTCCTGTTAGGCTTTGTTTGGAAGAACTAAGCCTCAAAAAACCTCACGGACCATAGTGAGCTGGCCAAAATGCTCTCACCCTCAAGAGTGTAACCCAACTCCAGAGTTAGGATCTAAGGATGTGTGGGTGCCCTCTCCAAGAATCTGCAAAGTGACAAGCCTTCACGTGTCCATGAGGGCAATTAGAGAGGGCCTTAGAGACTCACATGGACTTCAGGGCAGGAGGGACATGAATTCACCTGATGTGTGACTGCCTGGCCTTCAGCATTCCCAGCCCCAAGTATGGGTTTAGAAAAGGGACACATGCAGATCCTGTCATGCTATGGGTCTTTGCAAAACATTCCAGGACTCCTTTTTCCCCCTGGCAGCTCCCTCATGCACAAATGTACCAGAAGAGGAGGGAAAGCATGGAGAAGTTTCTACTTCTTTTCCTCATCCAACTTGTCCACTTTGATTTCATTGTTTCCTGACTGCTGTTTGTCCCTCTCTTTCTGTTTTCTGGCATAACCTCTCTATACAGAACTAACCCAGAGTTCCCTTACACTCAGAAGTCCTGGCACCCCTAGGGACAAATCTGTGCAGATGCCACCAAGGCTAGTCTCTAGACTTCCTAATTTTCCTGGACAGGCTTCTACCAATGAAAGAAAACTAGCAGTGGGGTATGCAAACAACATGGCTGTGTCACCAGGTACTCCTGATATGAGGGTCCGTGGCCCAGAACGTCGCTGACTTCCTAATAACTGATGCTGTTCCCTTTGTGCATATTCAGACCTATGTGGCACAGTCAGTGGGGAGTTTGTATTAAGTCCTATCCTCCTGGATGTGGGTAACATAACTAACCATCAGGGTACTCACTAAACACTCTGCAGGTCTTAGATTGGGGGATTATATTTTAGAAGAAAGAAAATATAGAGGTGATAGAAGGATTGACAGTGCTGATTTGGGATTGGAGCAACTAGTATACAAATAAGAATGAGTAATTGTCTGGCTTGTTTTGACACATTATTTTTTTAACACTTACTTCTTAAACTGGGAAGAAAAATGTGTGTTAGAAGCTCTATCTTCTTGACCTTGTAATGCTTCTCATCAGCAGTGTACACACTTTTCTTCTAAAGCATTATTTACAGTTGTCTTTTCTTGTATTATGAAGGTGGGGTTCAAAGCCAAACAGTAACACGTGTTTCAAGACTTCATATATGAACAGAATTTAAAGCTTGTCAGTGTCTTAACTATCAACTAATAAGAAAACCTGAGTTGAGTTCTACGGAGACAGAATAAATAGGTACCATCTTCTTGTCCCAATACCTGAACTGCCAGGATATAAATTTGAAAACATCCTTACCAGAGAAGAGCAGGCAACTGTGCCCATGTCACTGTCTTCCATGACATAGGATCTGGTCATTTTGGACCCATGTGCCGAGGAAGTCACCACTCAGCCATCTTCCACCATTCCGTAACCTGCTCCAGCATTTTCTTTCTAACTCTGCTCTATACTGTCCTGTCCACTTGATTTTTTTTGTTTTTTTCAATATTTCAGTACCTTTCATCTCTTTTCTTCCTCATTAAAAATCAGCAATTTTCATCAACAATGTCATATTGTAATGCTTTGCCTTTTGTGTTCTTGTCTCTTCATTTTGCAAAAAAGAAGTGATTGTAAATTTTCTTGTTGCTTTTTTGATTAATTTGTTGGATGCAATAAGAACAAAGGAAAAAGCATGATCATTTATCAACCTTGTTGAGCTCTTCCCACTCACTTTTTCCTGAGCATTATATCTGTCCTGAATGGTGCATTGGCTTTCATTTTCAAATCTCAGCCACAAAGAAACATTAATATCTGCATTAAAAGAATGAAGGGGAAAATACTCTCCATTTTCAAATTCTGTACTATTTCTGGATTGAGATTGAAATCAGATTTGTTCTGTAAAAGCATCCGTGTGATGTGTTGAACATCGGCTGAAAGAAAATGTCTTTTTTTCTCATTTTTTGTGTGGTAGAGATCCTTTTTCTTTCTCATATACCTTAAAATGACATGTAATTGCCCCAGCCTGGAAATAATTCTGTGTGCCCCCGTTCCCACCCTATATAGCTAAAATTTTTTTTGCACCAACACACAGCAGTTCCAGAATGCTCTATTTACATGAATTCTGCGTGAGATTGTATTATCATTTTTAACACTCCATCATGTACTTTCTCTGAAATACATAACAGTCATCTGGTCTTAGTTTTATTTGGCAAACAATAATGTGATCAGGGCCAAGACATCTCTTTATTTCCCATCAGCCTACTGGATTTTGAAATCCCTATGTATAAAAACTTCTCCATTTGGATTTCTCTGTTCAACACCAATTGTTTCCCTTTTTATATGAGTTACTTTATATGAGTATCCCAAAGTACCATTTAGGGAGTTTACAGATCTCCATCTGGTCCTCAGTTTCTGATTATGTGTCTTAAAAGTTAATATAGAAAATCTAGGGCCAGGGATTTAGCTCAGTGGTTCGGTGGCCTGCCTTGCAAGCGCAAGGACCCAAGTTCAATCCCTGGTACCAAAAAAAAAAAAAAAAAAAAAAAAAAAAAAAAAAAAAAAAAAAAAAAAAAAAAAAAAAAAAATCTAGAAGGAAATAGTAAGGAATATATTTGAGTTCAGGTTCTTCCATTTCCTGGCATGTGACCAGGGCAAGTCACATGGCCTTCCTGAGATACAGTAATCTGCTTTCCTTCACAGGAGGGTTAATGTACACATGCCATTTAAACAGCAGGCATTGGACCAATGTGAATAAAACATGTTACTCAACATGCTCATATTTTGTTCCCACACCCATTGCCACCCACAAGTAATAAGTGTTTTTTCTCTGTTGTTTCTGATTTGGATTTCACATGACCAGTTCATGTCCACCCCCATCTTCTCAGTCACCTCTTCCCAGAGACAGATGAGCACTTATTTCTCATCTCAATTTGCTAATGGCTTACTTCATTTCTTTTAAGTTATATGCTTCATTCACATGGGTTCTATGCTTTTTTTTTGGAATACTTCTTGGACATAAATCTTGGAAAAGTAATCTAGTCTTTCATCTTTAGACAAGATTGTGTTTTAAGCATTCCATATGCTTGAGTCTCTGGATGCTCTAAAGTGCCCCAGGGAAGGGACAACCCCATTACTCAGTAACAGTCTGCCTGTGTGGAACTACCAAAAAACCACATGACTCAGCCCTTTATGTGCCAGTGACACAGGGTCAAAGTGTCTAATGAGCACTTAAAAAGTTACTTACTGATTTCTTTTTTTCTTTCTTTCTTTTTTTTTTTGCTCCATCTTTGCTGGAAAAAATGCAAAAAAAACAAAAAAACAAGCTATTTTGTTCACTTACAGAAAAGAAATGAAATTCCATACCATTATGTTTATTTGATTCAGCAAAGTAAGGCCCTCTAAGCCCTGGATAGACCCAAGAACTCAACACCATGTAACATTATTGAATACACCCACATGACATAGTAAAAATACTATTACAATATTATTATTAAAATGCACCCATGTGACATAGTAAGAATGAGTAAGAATACTTTGTCAACTTTCTTGAAATCAGTTCTGTAATTTTATTTTGAGATGCTCAACAGATACTCGTTATTGTGAAGTAAGCTATTATAACTTACCAGTTGTTTTCAAATGTGCAAATCAGGGCTGGGAATTTAGCTCAGTGGCTCCACCACCTGCCTTGTGAGCATAAGGACCTGAGTCCAATCCCCGGCACCAAAATAAATAAATAACTAATAAATAGAGGGCCGTGGATGTGGCTCAGAATGAAGGCCCTGGGTTCAGTCATGAAATGAACAAAACAACTTGACAAATGACACTGATACAACCATTCTCTATATGCTTATGTTTTTATTTATTTTAAAATTTGTTGTGACTCTTGTCATCATCAAATTATTTTTTTTTTTTTTTTTTTTTTTTTTTTTTTTGTAGCCAAGGTACATCTCATAGGCTTTAGATAGTATGCTTAAAGAATCCAGTGGACACTACAACCCTGTCTCAAACAAAATATTATTTCTGAGAATGGTTATTTGTTTTCTTTCTCCCTGAAATGCTATAGTGATAATATAGTATTTTTACAGAGGTAATTGAAACCAAGTTATTTTAGTTTGCATGTTAAAACAATTCTTTTAATAAATAGAAAATTTACCTTGGTAGTGAAATTTATTAATCTTTTATACTCTTTTGCTCTAATAATCCTGCCAATTAGAAATCCTTTGTCACAGATCATTGTGGTTATATTTTGGACACCCTATGCCTGATGTCACTAGAACACTGTGAGTGGTGCTCTTGATATTTTACATCTTCTTAGCTTCAGGAAATTGGAGCCAATGCCCTGCTAGCTTAGCTAGACTTCTATGAGCATCCTGAGGTAGATGGAAACATGTCTTGATTATGCCCCATTTTTAATGGCATATATACTTATTCTGCAGGGAAAGGACCACTTTCTTTTTTTGTCCCATGCATGTGTGCACACACACACACACACACACACACACACACACACACATATATACATATACATATACATATACATATATATATATATATATTTCTTTACCATGAGTAGACATGTGTCATCATAAATCAGGAGAACACCTCTGCTTGGTAACAAAATATTCAGAAGGGCCCAGTTCCAGACACACTATCCAGCTTTACCACTGTGAAGCATCACTTCCAGCATTTGCTTTGGTATCTTTAGTCCAGTATTAGAGGTGATCTTTGGTGCAAAGCAGTCAGGCAACATTACCTTCTAAAGCAGTAGTTTCTGCCTTGTTTACTGCAGGACAATTATTATTTTTTTAGAGACAAAATATAGCTGGGGATGTAACTCAGTGGTAGAGTACTTGGCTAGCAAGCACTAAGGCCCAGGGTGTAATCCCCAGCACTGGGAAAAAAATCAAAATTCAAAAAAAAAATATTTCAAAAAGATACCAAATATGTAGACAAGCTGCCTCATTTTTACAACTCTCTCATAAATTTTCAAATTTCTTTGGGCAAACTCCAAGTCAGAAAAGTATGGCACACTGGACCCATCCTGAAATAATTTGTGAACTGTAACAATTGATTATTTATACATTTTAGCGTCTGTAGACTGAAACATACTAACGGTAGAATTTAGTGTGCAAGCTGATATAAAGCACAGGAAAATTTTCTAGGAGTACATTTGTAACATCTATTCACAACTGTTGAAGCCCATTCATTGTCTGAACATCAGTACCTCACTCTCTTCCTTGTTCACTTCTAATGACATCTTTAGGGTCCCATGTGACCTATAATTCTATTACTTTCAAAGGTGCTTGCTTTACTGGAACATTGTTGTCAGTTGCCCAAAGAATTATCTTCAAAATGATTACTTTGCTCAAGATAAAGTCTTTTCTACCATTGGTTTTTAGTATACAGATTCTGAATGTGTATTTAAAACAGTATATTTTACAGTTAAAATAATAATAATGATTAGAAGTATTCCCCATTCTCTGAATACATTTGGTTCCTGAATTTAGGCTAACACATGGCTAGATGGTGCGTACCTGGGTGTTTATCTGAAGTGTTTCTGAATCTCTTGGGTTCCACAGCTCAGACATCAGTGACTGGGATAGTAAGAGTTAGGGAGTAAGAGATGTATATACATGTCATTTACCTATTAACAGTTTTTTCTGGAAATAAGAAAATAAGAAAATTCCACCAGTACCAATTGTCTAGAAGTACCTTCTTTTCAAAGAGCCTAGAAAAAAGAAAAGAAAAGAAAACACACACACACAAAAAAACAAAAAACAAAGAGTCTGATATTTGGGAAGCAGTACATTGCATACCTTGGTCTCAATTTACCTTTTGCTCCCTTTGCAGGACTTTTCCTTTGTGGTTTTATGTCAAGGACACCTTGTTCTTTTGCTCAATAAAATAGCCAGATGATTATGGCTAGTATAATTCTTTGCACATATGACATACAAAGTGTACATGTTCTGGTGTATGTTCCTGGCTTTCTACAGCTTATCTTCTCTGGTGTATGGTGAGCTTCTGGGACGTGGAATTTCAAATCCAAAGTCAATTGAATCCAGTTGTATGTACTTTGCACAGCCATGGTGGGGGAAAAGATATCAAAATTAGCCCTCAGTAGAGTCAAGAGGGTTGCCTTCTAATTTGTGGTATATCTTATCATGTTTAAATATTTGTGTTTAATATGGTAGTTTAAAAAACAGACTTATTCTGTATAGGAGATGAAGTCTGCCCCCAGAAAAATTCAAAATGGGTAGAGAGTATGGAAAACAATAGCACTTTTGAATTTTTATTTCAAATCAGGCATAAAATTAGAAAAAATCTATTAGCTGCTACACAAAAATATGCAGACAGACTTGAAAATTAAGCCAACTCAAGAGAATTAGGTCCACTCGTCAAGGTAGGGAGCATGGTAGCACTGTCCTGACACATTTGGATACTCAAGTTGACCAGAAGGAAAAATAAAACAGGACAAGATGGATCTATGGGAAAAGTCTCAGATCTCTGGAAGCTGCCTGCAATCTTACATCATGTCTTGCAGTATCCATCTTGCTGACCTAAGTTTGTCTTTAAAATTGTCCTCTGCAACAGTCATTGTAAATAGGTCCCAAGGGCAACTTTTATCTGCTTTCTCTCCCTTTGAGATGCTGGGGCTCAGTTGCCTGCTTTGAGTTAAGAGAGACCCTAGAAGACAGAGCAGAACAGGACAATGAAATGGACGAGAGGGGAGAGGGTGGGAGGTAGAGAGGAGGGGAAGCAAGAAGAAACTCCACTGGTGCACACACAAGGAGGAGACGGGGGAGGTCAAGCAGTGCAGCCGAAGCTGGGAAGGGAAAGAGTGAGGAGGAGCAATGTATTTTAAGGAGCAGCGAGCGACAACTGAAAAGAAAGATCCCTAAAGAGAGAAAAAGAAAATGATACAGGAAGTCTGTATAAGACAGGCCATGCTCATTACCAGGCAGCCTGGAACTCCCACTTGCCTATCAGCAGTTATGTGAGGAAGTAAGGGTTTGTGCCCTTACTGTCAGCCTCTTGTCAGCCCTCCCTGGGGTTCTTCCCCTTCCTGTCCCATGAGTCAACCCAATGCAACTTACTATTTTCCCCAAGCCTGAATGCCTGCTGCAGTTCCCCTTGATTATCTAGGGTACAAACCGTCTCCCTCCCTGACCCATGGCGTTGTGACCAATCAGCGAGATATCCCAGTCAGGGCAAGGTAGGCTCTTAGCAGGCCCTGTCTTCTCAGCCAAGTGAAGTAAGATAATGGGTAATAAACAGAAAGGTCATGGCTTGGATGTTCTGCACTTTTGTTGTTGTTGCCAGCTAGTAGTGTTTGCTCTGGTTTTGAAAAATCCAGAGAGCAAATTTTTTTGCAAATTGTTGATGTGGAGCAAAAATGAGGACTTTTGTCTCTGGAACTTGATCAGACAAACGCAAAAATGGCTGTGCAAGTGACTACAGAAAATCCTTCCTCAAAAATGAATTAACTTCTATCCACTGAGGTTCTCTCCTTCTTTGGCTTGTAGGTAGAAGAACGGTCAAGACTCAACCGGCAGAGTTCACCTGCCATGCCTCACAAGGTTGCCAACAGGATTTCTGACCCCAACTTGCCCCCAAGGTCGGAGTCCTTCAGCATTAGTGGGGTTCAGCCTGCTCGAACACCCCCTATGCTCAGACCTGTTGATCCCCAGGTATAGTTTCTCTTTTGTTTCACTGGAGATTAGGGTGTACAATAAAACGTACTAAAAGCCCAAGGAATTATAACATGGATTAGAGCTTAAGGTAAATTAGTTGATAACTGTGATATAGAATTTACAATCACCTATGAGGCACATTGAATGTGAAGAGTGGAGGAATAGATGAAAAAGAAGAAGCATCACACTTAACTTTGATTCAACTACGAAGTCGCTTCTTGGTAGATTGGTCTCTCTTGGAAATTCTAAAGAGTTTCTGCAAGGTAAAGACAAGCATCCTTTTTCTAATAATTACCAAAACTAAAATTCATGGAGACCTGTGATGGTGAACCTTTTACAGCTTTCCGTGATACAGACATCTACTTGGCACGTGTGCCATCGATTGGCCAGAACTGAGACAGTCAGACCTGTGTGGTATGACGTATGTGCACATTGTCTTCCTTGCGACTTGGGCTAGAGCTTGAAACTGGAAAAACATTCAGTGGACTTGGTATAATGAAATTGCATCTTCAAAGCTAGTGGTTCTGCAAGTGTAGTCACTGGACCCCTAGATCAACATTATCCAGGGACTTGATAGAAATTCAGATTCTCAGGCCCACTTCAGACCTGCTAATCAGCAATACTGGGTGGGGCCTGACAGTCAGTGGCTAACAGTCCTTCCAAGTGATTCTACTGCCCTTCAGAGTCTGAGAATCACTGTTGTAAGCTACTTGGGAAGGAAAAGAGATTTCTTCACGTTTGGGAAAGGGGGAAATTTCTGGAAGCTCTGTAGGACTTTTAAATTATACCACTGTATATCCCCAAAATGAAAAATATTGTGAAATAGAGTATGGAATTCTATAAAACAATAAAGGTGATGATTTTTTTTTTGTCCAAGTATCTTAAATTTATTCCAGGCATCTACCTGAATTAAGATTTCCACAATATATTTTGAGGTCACTTTTGAAATATATAATGCTGTTTTTACTGGAGTTTTAAAGAGTAGTGATAAAATCAAGTATTCTTTGTGTCTTAAGTTTACCTCTAATAGATTAGATCCAAGATTTTCGAGCATTGGCCAGCTTAACAGGTCTTCCCATGATTGTTTTTATGTGTATAGAATTCTTTCATGCCTACCTTCCAAAAAGACATAGTCTTACAGTAACTTCTCTTTTGACACACAGATATCCTCTTGTAAAACCCTTAACTTGTCTTTAAGTGGTACTTTTGCCCTGTAACAGTGCTATGATGGGGAAAACTTACTTTCTGAAAATGGCTAAGAAATGAAAATGTAGATAGCCTTAAAAAAAATGTAGATATCCTGTGACAGATGATGAATTGAATATTTTTCAGACACTTCAGTTTTTGTTTTTAGACTCTTTAAAGTAGATTGTGTTTTATACTAGATACTTTAATGTTCTTTGTTTTAATGATATACTTTCTATATTTAGTGCTTTTTAATTTTTGTATAAATTTCACTGGTTCTGTTCTGGTTGAAGTATAATATCCAGCAGAATGAGGCTTTGAGGATTTCCTTTGAATTGTTATTAATAACATTCCAACTGAAACTTCAGAACCAAGAGAGTATTATGGGTCCTCGTATAAAGCAGATACTAAATTAATGTTTGTTGAGGTAACAATTCAATTTAAAAAGCACTCTAGATTTTTCCCAGACTTACTGAACACCTTCCATGGGTCAGGCATAAACTGAGGCTTAGGGACATGATGAGCATGACTTCCATGAGAAGCTGAGCTTCTTGAAGTAGGAGGATAAGTTTAACTAGTCATTAAAAAATGCATATCTGCTATCCAAATTTAATGACTTCTCTAAAAGGCTCACAATTTCAGTGAGAGAATGCATGACTTTAAATATGACCACAAGAAATATTTAATAGTTAAGATGTGAGTGTATCTGCTTTTGCTTCTAATCATGCTACCCTAATGTTGGCTTGTGCTTAGATCCCACAGCTGGTGGCTGTAAAATCCCAGGGACCTGCCTTGACCGCCTCTCAGTCGGTGCATGAGCAGCCCACAAAAGGCCTCTCTGGATTTCAGGAGGCTCTGAACGTGACCTCTCACCGTGTTGAGATGTCACGCCAGAACTCAGATCCCACCTCTGAAAACCCTCCTCTCCCCACTCGCATTGAGAAGTTTGACCGAAGCTCTTGGTTACGACAGGAAGAAGATATTCCACCAAAGGTAACGTTACCATTATCAGTGTGTTTTTATCATCATCACCATCATCATCATCTCATCATTGTCATTGGTCATCATTACCAACACTACTGCAGACCTTTGTAATAATAAAGAATGTGATAATGCCAGGGCACTATTCCTCCTCCTCCTTATTCCCAAGCTAAGAGCTGCAGTATCATTTATCATTTCTGAATTTCTTTTTTCCCCTGAAAGAACTAAGATTTGGGTAATCTGAATGACTTTCAAGTATATGTCCCTTATTCCAGAATTAGAACTCTCGATGCAAGCACCCTAGACAATTTTACTACTCATACTAAAAAGCAAAATAATGGATGTTTTCATTGATGACTGGATCTACTCTAAGTAAAAGGTTCATTGATTCCTATTTTTAACCATACAAAGTAAAACTAGATTTCATGGGTCCAGTAGGTACCACTGCTCCTAGAATATTTTAGTTGGTCCATTTAAGGAAAGCCCCTTTTAGGATAAGTCATGATTCAATTCCAGCCTCAGTTAATGACTGAAAATAAAACTTCAGGGCAGAAAACCCAGTCTTCTCACTGGATGGAACAGTCTTGAGTTTTGAGGTTCTTTTTCTTCTGTTTTCGTACACAAAGCTATTACTTTTCCCCAGATATATTCTGGACTATAGCTTTGCATTTGCTACAAGTAACCTGTAAATTTTTCAAAACACTGAAGATCTTTTTTTATTGGATTCTTTTGTTTCAGGAATCCTCTTTCTCCTGAGTTCAGCCTCAGGAGTGGCGACAAATAGAATGTCTCACAATTTCCAAGAAATAATGTCATTATTAATTCCACAAAAAATAATAGCTTTTATTTAGTGATTTAGAAATATTTTTCATCCTCTCAAAAGAATATTACTCCAAGAGTTCCATTATTTGGAACATGAACATAGCTGATAATGGCTTTTTTGTTGTTGATGTCCTTTTGTGAAAGCAGAACTTTCATCAGAAAAGATTTCTTAGAACCAAACTTTAGGGAGGAAAATAAGACAGGCACAGGAGCTGCAGAGACTGAAAGGGGAAGCTATTGGTCCATTCTGAAACCATACATGCATGCATTTGAAATGCTGGGAAGCAACTTTAGGCCAATTCAAAGATTTAGGATTTACTAATTTATTAGGTTCTTCTCTACAAATAGCTGTGTTTACAAAAATAAGCAGGAAAAATAGCAGTAGCAATGTTTAATTAGAACCGGTGGTGACACTAATTTGGCCATTCTGCTTCGCTTCAGACTTATCTTTATGTTGAAATAAATTATAATCATAAATTAGTTTTCCAAACAAAGGGTACCACTTTACCTTGAAAGTAACTTTCTATACTAGAATTCATATGGTTCTTTAAAATTGTGTCCTTATTTGGTGCACTTTTAGTATTTGACCTTCTTTCTGAAAAGAATCTGTAGTATCTTAAAAGGAGACATTTTTAAAAATTTAACCTTAGGCTTTTCCTGCTAAGCTAATGATACATTTTTTAAATTAATTTTATTGGTACATTTAAGGTATACAACATAATGACATTCATCATTGGAAATTTGCACCTTTACATAATCCATCTTGGTTCTTATTTTTTCCCCATCCCCCTGCCCTCCTTTCAGCCCCTCCCTCCCTCCCTATCTACGGAGGTTTTGTCTCCCTTTTTTTCATTTTCTCATAGTAATTCCATTCCCTTCTTTCCTTTCCCCTACTCCTCCTATTTCCCCTTCCCCTTTGCCTCTTTTCTTCCGATTTCATATTATCTATTATATCTTTTGATCTTTATTTACACTTTCAGTTTCTCACACTAGAGAAACAATTCAGTGTTTACACATGTGTGTCCTGCTTATTTCACTTAAGAGTATCGTCTCAGTGTGCATCCACGTAGCTATAAATGTCTCTAATTTCTCATTCTTTATGGCTGAGTACTACTCCATTTTATATTAAAAAAAAAACAAACATTTTCTTTATCCAGTCTCTAGTTGATGGGCTCCTGGGCTGTTTCCAAGTTTTAGCTATTACAAATTGTGCTTCTGTGAACATGGGTGCACATATATTACTGTGTTATGACTCTAATTCTTAGGGGAAGATACTCAGCAGGGGAACAGATGGGTCAAATGGGACAATGCATTTTCTAACTGTGCCTCACAGTGTTAATGGTACTCACTCAGGGTTTTTGAACATCCTTCCAGTATTTTCAGTATTTATGTGGTTTTGTGGTGAATTTGCTAACTGCCTGGTGTTTTGGATTTGGGGGTTTTAATTAGTATTTTCAAGTTGATTAGAAATATGCAGTATCTATTGTAGTAGGGTTCTCTGAGCCCATTGACTTGTGATTGAATGTTTGTAATTCTACCTTGATATCCCAGTTTCTTATCAGATTTTATAATATTCTTTAGTTGTGATGGGAACTAAAAGGGAAAGTTGGCTTTATCACAGTGGCTCTTGTTTGATGAAACTTCCAATGAGGTTGCTACAAAGAGGTTTCTGATATGTGCCACTCTTGCTCTCCAAAAAGAGAAGTTAACTTCTTACCGCTCAATAAAGCAGAATTATTCATCTGTCTTTAAATTTAAGACCTAAAATGACCCTGCTGAATGGTTTTGAGTGTGTCTCACTACTTTCTGCCGCTAGACTCTTCTTTGGTTTTTTTTTTTTTATAGAAAGTTTAATATTTTTTTGAGGACTAAAAGATAATTCCTTCATATTTCAAATAATTTTTGTAACTTCAAATCTTGTGAAAGAAATAAGTTTTTCAGACTGTAGCCTGTGGAAGCTCTGTTATGGAAAAATATTTCTGCATTTTGGTTTTCCTCCAGGTGCCTCAGAGAACAACTTCTATATCCCCGGCATTAGCCAGGAAGAATTCACCTGGAAATGGTAGTGCTTTGGGACCCAGACTAGGATCTCAACCCATCAGAGCAAGGTAAGGAAGGAAGGAGGCCAGGGTGAAGGAAGAATCCCCACCCATTGCTGTCATTCTGTTGTTCTAAAAAGTGTCTGTTTTCTGAATTCACTTCCAAAGCATGTGGAGTTGCCACCTACCTCCACTGTAAGTTTTCATGATTAGAACATGTGCTTTCAATAGATTTTAGAAAGCAGTGTACAGTGTACAGTGAATGAATGAGGCAGTCCAGAAGCCAATCAAGTATACTTTAACTGACAGTTTTTAAAATCTGGGGTAAAAATGAACACATAAATGCAATACTTCAAACCATTTACTTCTGAGACCATTTGATGGAATCAGCAGAGTGAAATAGACTTTTGAAATTATTTTTATCAGGTCAAAAAATATACCGTGGGAATGACTGAGATGGTAAAAAGCAATTGCCAGGGAAACAGTGACCAACTTCAGAGCTTCTGAAGCTTGCGAGTAGAGAAAGTCCAGCTCCAGTGAGAAAATCACCTCCTTGTCGTCACGCAGGATCCCTGAAATACAGCTCTGCTTCCGCTGTTGCTGTGTGTGTTCTCCTTCCAGAATTTTCCATCGTCGATGTATATTTTTGCAGATGGGAAATTGCATTCACTCCCATTGGCTTGTGTAGAGGTCCTTGGAGAAGCCGGAAAGTAAATATCTTTACAGCATCTGAGCAGATTTGGTGTGGTAACAGATGCTGTTTGCTGCCATCATTGCTGTCGTTCATCAAGCTTCCCTCAGCTTTTTCACTATGACTACATCCCTTTTTAGGGTCCACTGAAATAGCAAATGGCTTCTGCTAAGGCTATAAAAAGAATGAGCTTGGGCAAGCTATTTTCTTTTCCTTTGCTGTGTTCACAATAAGAGAAAGATGGGGGGCAGGAAAGAGACAGACAGACAGAATGTAAAGGAAGCCTATGGTTATTTGTAGATATCCTTGAAACATGAAATGCTTTTGATGTTAACACTTCAGTTTTCTTCTTCAAGTGAAAAGCCTTAGGAAGGGTCACTCCATAAAAAAGACAGAACTCTACGAAGAACACGAATCCCTTCAGGGTGGAGATGTTAGCTCATTCTGCGAGGAATTACCAATTGCTGTACACTCTTGAGTGAACGTTTTTTCCCAGCGACTTGTCAGATTTGCGCTGGGCTGGTGTTGCTAGGCAGCACTGAAGAAGACTGGAACTTGCTCTGGCCAGGGAGCCAGAAGAATGCAATCTCTGGATTCCCAGCTGAACTTTATCAATCCTTCTTTTCAAGCAGTAATAAGTCTCTAGTTATCAGCACTTCTTGGTCTTTTGATCCCTGCCCTCAGGGCTCTGTTCATTAGATCAGTTGCTTAAAAGTATAGTTGCTTTAGATCGAGCATTATTTCAACTTTAGTATTCTTCCTCCTGTCAACCAAGAATTACTTTTATATACCCAAATAAAAAGCAGCTTTTTGTTTCTTCTGAATAGCTATTTTAATAACATTAGAGCCTAAAATAATTGAAATTTGATGGTCAGTAGCTTAGAAAAAAAATAGGAGCTTTCCCTTGGGACCATTTAAATACTCATTCTTTGTTCAAAGAATGCAGACTTTGTGAGAGATGGCTGGCATTTTTCTACTTAAGAGATAGAAAGAAACTGAGGTAAGAGATAATAATTCATAATAAAAGTAAAAGGGACTAGAGGCAGGGGAGAATCCCCACTTCTGTAAGTGTGATAATCTTAGAGAGCAACCCTTCTTCTTGCTAACATGTCTCTATGTGACCAGTATTTAAGATATAAAGAAAACTTGGCATATCCAGGTAGTATTACATTTATTAAAAAAATTAAGATTCACGTTACCATTATAGATACCTTCTGTTCACCTTTGCTAAATAATAAGCCATGCAAAAACTTAAAACAATAACAGTTTATTATTTCTCACAACTCTGGGTTGGCCAGGAAGTTTTCCTGATCTCTCCTGGCCTCAGTCACGTGGCTGCAGTGAGCTAATTTGTCAGTTGTACCTCTTAATGCACAGGATCTTCTATCCCCTGCTTCTTTGCCCTTTATCCATTACAGAACAGCACTTCAAGAGGGAGCCTTCCATTGTAGAGTTTTTGCTGCCTCTGCTTGTATTATCTTAGTTGATGCCCGAGCAGCCACTGCAAGGCTCTTGGCCCATTCCTGAGTCATGGAAAGGAACCAGAGAGGAAAGTGGCCTATGAGAAATGTGATTGCCAGGGTCCATTGCTGTAATGGCCTCTTTACCTTCTATCGGTCTAATGAAGTCCTCGTAGTTCCTTGTGTACCATTTGTCAGACAATCCCCAATCCATAAAACAACAACAACAACAACAAAAACAGGTCCAGGGATTTAGCTCAGTGGTTCTACTGCCTGCCTTGTAGGTGCAAGGTCCCGAGTTCAATCCCTGATACAAAAAAAAAAAAAAAAGTAATAAATTTTAAAAAACTTTTACAATGCTTCTAAGCTATACTTCCCATACTTTGTCAAGACAACCCCCCCATGTCCTAGTCTTTCTTTGAAGTGATTCCAAAGGCAAATTAGAAAATCAGCAAAGTTAGCATAGATTCTAACAAAAATTTCAGGAGTGAAAAGGAACAGATTCAGGATGCTTTGTTAGTTTTCGTTCATTTGCCAGTTTCATCTAATTTATATTAAGGGCCTACTCTGTGCATGCCTGCAAGTTGCCCTGGGACCCACTAACTCCAATCTAGATGCCCGACTCCTGAGCCCATGGCTCATACTATCCTCTTCTCTTTGGGGCTACAGGTATTAAGAGAAGGGAAAACTTTTTCTTTTTTTTCTTTTTTTTTTGCCTCACTGTCTTATTTTGCTTTGGAATAAATTTGTGAAATAACTTATTTAAAGACAGAGTTCCTTTCTCCTGTGGTAAACCTAGGAACTCCAAATTTAAGATGTGTTTCAGCACAGAAGGATTTTTGGGTACCCAAGCCACCACATGGAGAAGGACCACCAAGGAGAGCCAGTCTAACCATACACTAGTGTGATATTTTTGATAATTTAGAAAACAGTGTTTAAATCAATAATAAACTATCCCACTAGAAGGGAGACTTTGTGGTCAGGTACTTATAACATGAGAAGAAAAGCAAAGCTTTATTCTTCTGGATACCCTTCCTTCTCCTAGGAATAACTCCGTTATCTCATTCTTGTGCTGTCTGCACACACTATGCCAAATAAAGAATAGCCCTCCAGAGAACTTGCTTTGAAAATAGATGCATCATTGAACAAGCAGCTACACAGGTTGTTCAAGAAAGGGTTATTAATGGGAAACCACTGGGTCCTTGCCTTTCGTAGGCAGAGAAACTGAGATAAACAGAAGTTAAGCAGATTGCCAACAAAATGCCACAAACTCCACAAGCAGTAGAGACTAGGATGGACCCCTGGTAGCCTCACACTAAGTCTACCCTCTTAAATGCTGCTACGCGCTAATCAGGTTAGTTAACACTGCCTTTCCCAAGGGAAAAGGGCCACATGCTTCATAATGAACACGGCTTCTACCTTTCTCACCCTGTGGTTTCTAAGTCCAGTGACAGCTCCTCCTAATCTTAAAGTTATTGATTCTTATCCTGTGATTCTAAGTTTTAAAAGTTGTTGTCCCATGGGACCTATTTTATATCTCAAACACCCAGTCAGGCTGAAACTAGGTGTCATCTTGAGCCTTCTGGCATTCCTTTTGCAAATGGCCCACCTCTGGCTGATAACGTGGAGCTGTGGCCTCACAAGCTTTCCTGCCCCTGATCAGTGAGAACTTCCCACCCGCTTGTGGATGCCCAGATGCCGTATTCTGTCAGGGTGATCACTTCAGTTTAAACATTCGATTTGATCATTTAAAAAGATTGTTTTTAAACTCTCAGGCACTTTACTGCTTAATTTTGATTCACGTGTTCTTTTATAGCAAATTAAAATTTGATCAAACAAGTGCATTCAGAATATGAAAAGATTGAAATTAAGCTAGAAATACCCAGGCAAAATCCAATAATTAAATGCTTAATTTTTAAAAGTAATTCACTCTACCACCCTCAGCCTATCTTCTTATGACTTGTTTGTTCCCATTGACTGTGTCATCAAAGAACAAAGTAAAGTGAATTTTGGTGGTCAGCCAGTTAATTAAAGACTTGGCCCAAAAATCACTTTGAAATCCTTATTTTCTGTTTTGGCTTTTTATATGATTCAAGTGGATGGAGTAATTGCCACATTTTTACTTTACGGTGTTTTATAGACCAAATAGCATTGTCTGCAGGATGACAGATGTTTGAATTACAAGTTAGCATGCAAAAAATCTATTTGGATGTTTTCAAGTTTTTCTATGTTTGGATCCTAGTAGATTTTCTTAATACATGAACAAGGAAAATCTATAACTTGATAGAATTCTTCTGAAATTGAATCTAAGAGCATTTATCTCAGACACCTTGGCCCCAAGGCCAGACCATATATACATAATGAGGAAGAGAAAAATGTGAACAGTATGACAATTCCCCAAATTACTCCTGTTTTACAACAAAAATAAAATAAGATAGAAAAGGCTCTGTAAAGGTTTCTCTATTTCTATGTATGGTTACATAGAAACTAAATACTTCTTTTAGTCTCCAGCAACAAAAATAGCAACCTGTCAAGATTTGCACCCACACTGGTGAGCTCCAGTGGGGAGGACTTGTGCTAATGAGGCCCAGGTCAGGGATTTGATGCCCCTGGGATCCAATTAGCTTCACAGAAAAGGAGGCACTGAGTCCCGTCAGATGCAGGCTCATCTCAGCCAGTTCTGCTAATACCTGTGTCTCTTTTTTATCCCAGGACAGCCTGGCCCAGGACCTCATCATCTAAGGTGGCAGCAGCCTCCTAACTGATTTGCCTGTTGTGCATAAGTCTACCATGGCAGGTACACAATCCCTGCCAAGTTTGAATGGCTGGTGCTTTTATAGCCTGGCTTTTTCTTCTGACTGCTCCATTCTCCCACTGATGCCTAACACATATTTGGTACTCTATTCTGTGGGTGTCTTCTCTACATCCACATACATCAGGACAACCCTAGGCTCTGTCTGCTCAGGCCACTTCCAGCCTTCCTTCTTACTGCTCCACAGCCCCCTCAAGTCCTTTGTCCTTTGTTTGTTTTGTACCAGGGATCAACTCAGGACCCTGTGCTTGCAAGGCAGGATGCTGCTGCCGCTGAGCTTTGTCTTTTTTTTTTTTTTTTTTTTAGTACTGGAAATGGAACTCTGGACCTTTCACTTGCGAGGTAGAACCACTGAGCTAAATCCCCAGCCCTTGTCTTTCTTAACACCACCCTGGACCCCTCCAGTTAGCACAAACATGTGAAATTCTTTTTAGGGAACTGAAGATGTTGGAAACAGAGGAAGCTGATGCTGGATTTGGTTTTCTGTCTCAGCAACTGGATAGCAATAGATTTTCAGGTGTCAGTGAATTATCCCTGCAGGCATTGTGTAAATCTAACAGACAAAAGAAACAACATCTGTTTTAGCTGTAAATTAGAAAGGAAGAGCTCTGTAGAAGCTTGAAGGGTGCTGCTTTTTTAGAAACAAAATTATAAAAACCTCAGAAACTGCCACCCACCACCATTGTTTAGATGTCTCCTCTTCTGGTTTAGCTTTCCTGGTGGCCAGAAGTGGCTTTCTTCGTGTTTCCATATCGCCCCACGCTTCGCTGCAGGCAAAGTGTGAATGAAACGGGCTGGGTGTATTTGGCTAAGCTCACAGTGGCACAGACTGACTTTTTTATATCTCAAATACCTGACAAGTGCCTGTGTAAGACCACGGAGTAGGTGAAAAAAATACTTCTATTTGGGGGAGCAGTAAAGATATGAAGAAAATTCTTCTAAATTTTCTAAAACGAGTCTGCTAGCCTGCTAATAAACTAATTTGTTCTTCCATTAACATTTAATAATAATTATCCAAAAACATATCCCTTTGGTAGTAGCTAAGAGTATAGACTTCCTGTGAGAAAATTATAAAAAATATAAAAACTCCACTACCTAAATAAGCAAAGGATCTGATTAGGCAATCCATAGGGAAAGGATTATAAATATGAATAAAATCATTCTATATCAATACAAGTTTTAAATAGCACTAAAACAGTAAGATAAAATTTATCAAATTGCTCCTAATAAAATCTGATAAGAATTTAGAGAGATGAACAATCACACATGCTTCAGTAAAATTTGGTAATACTTTTACACACCCATTCATACATATGTATACATGGAAACTGCAGCTCATGCCTTTTCACCCAAGAACTCTAATTCCAGCAAACAGATGTGATTGAGCAATGGTGTGCAGATAGATGGCTATTTCAGTATTATCTGTCACAGCAATGTTGGGGAGTATCCTAATATTTAACAATAGAGGAATAGTGTTTTTAGTGTTTTCACTCAAGGATTGTTTCAGGGGTTCATCCCCTGCACATCCAGAACCTGGCCAGGAACAGGAACTGGACTGCTGTTATACTAGTTCTGTTTTAAATTTTTTTAGGAATCTGCATACTTACTTGACATCTCCACCAACAGAGTGCAAAGGTTTCCTTTTCTTTACATCTTTGTCAATTTGTTATCCTTCATCTTTCCCATGACAGACATTCTAACAGTTGCAAGGCGAAATTCATTGTGGTTTTAATTTGTATTTCTCCAATAATTAATGAGTTACATATTCTTACATGTCTATTAGCTATTTGTATATCTTCTCTGAGAAATGTCTCTTCAGGTCTCTTGCCCCATTTTTTAATCTGGTTGTTTTCTTGCTTGTGAGTTGTTTGAGTTTATTATATATCGTGGATATTGACACCTTATGAGATGTGTGGCTTGAGAAATTGACAAGGTTTTAAGCATGAAATGAATGCGCTCTGCTACCCGTGCAGCAACCCTGATCTCCGGAGAACAGAGCCTGTCTTGGAAAGCTCCTTGCAGAGGACTAGCAGTGGAAGTTCCTCCAGCTCCAGCACCCCCAGCTCCCAGCCGAGCTCCCAAGGAGGCTCCCAGCCTGGCTCACAGGCAGGATCCAGTGAACGGACCAGAGTTCGAGGTAAACCATTCTTGTTCCTTTTCCTGGCAACATCACCTGGGGAGGGAAACATGAATGGGGAAGAAGGGTTATGCCCTGACTGCGATGTGGCCACCACTGTGTGATACCAAAGAGACGCTTAGCTGCTTTCAGCCTCCATCTCCTGGAGGGACTAGGTCCCGTGCAGATGGCATCAGAGGGTGGACAAAATTCTATCTAATCTCAGGTACTAAGAGTTCTTTTCAGGGAGACCACTGAAAGTGTTCTTATTTGAAAGTATAGTTACCAGTCACCTGAATTTCCATTTCAAATTGATTGCTTGATTTTAGAATTTCCTGTACCTCTGAATGTCCTATTCCTGGTGTGTTAGTCATCTCTTGTAGTATTCTGAACACAATTCACAATTGTAGGTGTTTCTCATTCATGAAATTTGATGAAGATTAATGCAGTGCAAATATACTTGAGGGAAGAAATTAAATTTTTGAACTAAAAAAATACATTTGATTCTTTAGTCAGATAGATAAAATTTAGCCTGCTCAAAAGTTTAACTTAAATCATTCGTTGTTGTTTAGTTTTCATTAATAGGGAAACCTATGAAACCCATTAATATTCTACAGGGAATTATAAATAACAATATATTGTTTTTAGCCACAACCAGTATGAAAATCAGTATAGAGATTCCTCAAGAAACCTAAAAATAGAAATTCCCTTCAACACACCTATTCTTTTTCTAGTTATATTCCTGAAAGAGTTAAAAACATCATATTACAGTGATACATGCCTAAAAGTACAATTCATAAGAGTTAAATCTTGGAAGCTACCTATATGTCTATCATTTAGACAAATGGCTAAAGAAAATGTGGCATTTATACACAATGGAGTGCTACATTTGAAGGGTACATTTGAGTCATTTGTAGAAAAATGGATGCACCTTGAAAACAAGTAAAAGTTAAGTAAAGTAAATCAGATACACAAGCTTAAATACCATATGATCTCTTCTACATGAGAAGCCCAAAGTCTAACTATATTAAAGATCAAAATCAAAGACAGATGAAAGGAAACAGGGACATAGACCTTCTGCAAATAAGAAGGGGGTGAAGAGATGGAAGGAAAGAGGAAGGGGGAGGAAAAGATACAAAAGAGAATTAAATTACGTCATGTACATATAGCAAACACCCACTAGTGACAAACATGTACTAATACATTAACAGATTCACTCTTGGGCCAGGGCTTTGGCTCAGTGGTTCTGCTGCCTGCCTTCCAAGTACAAGGGCCCGAGTTTGATCCCCGGTACCAAAAAAAAAAAAAAAAAGAATTTGTTCTTTCCGAATCACTTTCTTTGGAAGATAATTTTGCTTCTAAGTGATAAAGTCAAGTACTTTTTGAAGTGCAACTGGATAATACACCTATAAATTATTCTGGCTGATTAGTATCACCAGTTCTTTTTTCTTTTTTGGCCTCTTTAGTAGGCACAACACTAGTTTACCTCCTAATGTCCCTATTAGTTTTCAAGTCAGTGAGATCACCATATGTCCATTTTCAAAAGCTTGACCTCTAACGTGTGATGTCCTTGTTTATGACTGGGGACATGGGCTGACCCACGGCTACTCACTGTACATTTTGCTGATGTCAGTAGCACATCCCATAGCTATGTCTTTGTACCACTGAGCCAAACATAAATTTCTTGACTTAGAGAACTTCCACTTCCTCGCTCCCTTACCTTTTTCTATCCATAAGCAGTGTCATACCCTTAAAGCAAATGTTAAAAAAAAAATGACTTAATTCTTACATTTTTTTCCCTTTGGTCCCTGTCTCTGAGTTAAAAGTGTTCTTGTATGCCTGGTATGTCCCTACCGAGGAACGACCACTTTAAAGCAAAGCAAAACATCTCTCCTGCCTTCTTCTCTGCTAATACAGAAGCTGTTCACTCTGTAGCTGCAGAAACCCCTCACTCCTTGCTCCGTGTCTCTGTTCTAAGGCCTTTTTACTTTATCATCAACATTCTTCCTGCCCCTACTTCATTTTTGCTTTCTCCAAGGGGTCAGATGACTCTCCACTCCTATTTTAAGACCATCAAGCAAATAACGTAAGATTTGATTTTTTTCTCACCAAAATCCATCAAAATAATTTATCCTGATGAGTAAGTAGTAAAAGAAGAAACCAGGCATAAAACCTTAATTTGGAAGCTGGTTTAACATAGTGATGGGGAATAACAGTTTCAGAAATCAGAAAGAAACCCAGCTCAGTCCATAATTTCATCATAACCTCAGGCCACCGCTGTCATCTTTCTAAGTCTGTAAGATAGGAAAATAGTGCCACAACGCTGGGTTGGAGTCAAGATGAAATGAGGTGATTATCAGAGAAAGTATAGCATATATCAGGAACCTTTCAGTATCAGCCCCTCAGTAAATGGTACTAATGTAGTGGTCCTTGCTACAGTTTTTCTTACTGTTACTCACGACTTCTGGGTTTCAAGACTAAATGTGTCTGCCTGATTTTGTGTGCCTGAACATTTATTGTGTCTCCATGAATGTGTTTGAGGATTTGGCCAAGTGAATGACGTGTGCACTGAGTAATCCTGAAGGGATGAATCTTCACAGACGACTCACCAGAGCTCTTTGGCTTCATTGCTCTTTGCCGGTCACATCTTTCTTGGCCCTCTATTTTTTCTTTAGCCAACAGTAAGTCGGAAGGATCACCTGTGCTCCCCCACGAACCTTCCAAGGTGAAACCAGAAGAATCCAGGGATATTACCCGGCCCAGCCGACCAGCTGTGAGTGCTTTTCTCTCTGAGTTTTAAGCTCTTAGTTTACCAGAGAACCCACAAATTAAAGTAGTTGGGGATACACTCATGATCATGAACAAAAACTCTTTGAAATTAATAAGGAAGAAATCACACCTGATTAGGGAAGAACCAACTCTTGGATTGTTTCTCCTGCCTTTGGATTATTTTGGTGACCATCAGTGCCCCTTTAGAGAACAAAATAGAGAAATAACTCATACCATTGCATAATTTTGCCTTGGCAACTTTGGCAACAGATGTTGAAAATAGACACTTGAACCTGTCCTAATTATTCTGCCCTTTCCCCATGTTATTTTCCATATAAATTAACATAAGTTTTTCTGCTACTTTTCATACCTTTAGAAACGTCATATCTTTTATGGGCTGAAGCTTGGTAAACATAGAGTGAAAAGAGGGGCTGGCAACTTGAAATCCAGCTTCATTGCTGTAACATGATGGACACAAAGTAGCTTTAAAAAAAAGAAGAACATGCAGGCTGAAATTGAAAAGTGGAAAATTAATTTGGGATGAGTCACTGTCCACTTATTTCAATTTTCTGAAACTCATTTCTATTAAAAATTAACATAAAGCCTTTTTGGTTTACTGTTTTTTTAACATTGTAAGGTTAGGAGGAATATTGAGTAGTAATGAAAGCAACTTACATCGTTCTGAACTTTCTTTGTCCTTTTGTCTTTATCAGTTTTGTACTAACGATTCCAATTTTGTGTCTAACCCGCTTCCTTTCTTCTGGCCTTTCCTCTCCTGTGGATTCTTCTGGATTATGTTCCTCTTACCTCAGAGCTATAAGAAAGCTATAGATGAGGTTAGTATTGCCTCTTTTTGGTCATACTTTCATAAGCTGTAAATTTTAAACCGATTTCCTGATGTTGAATGTAGAAAAGGAATCCAGGGGAGTCACAGGTGTAAAGCAACTGAGGTGTAATTATCTGCTGGGAGAAGAGCCCTTTCAACAAAAGCCAGCCTGAGACGCTCAGATCTACACATGTAAAGCTTCCCAATCCTTCCCTCTAAGTGAATATGTTGCTTTTTCAATGTTCCAGCCTGGCCGACAACAAATATTGGTTATTTATTAATGGCACGATTTTTCCCTCCAGCCCCTTCCTTTACTCTCCAGCTTTACTAGGAGATGGCTTTCAGCAATTTTACTAACAAAGAAAAGAGACATTGTTCTGGAGCACTCCAAATTTATAGTGTGTAATTTGTGAACAAGGAGTTACTGGGTATTGTTAGATTAATTTTGTGGGACATTTACAGCAGCATCAGTAGCAACATCAACTTGAGTTAATGAATCCCAATGAGTTAAGTGACTTTATTTCCTTATCTGAAAAGACATTTTTCCATTAGAAGATATATGGCTTTGTCAATTGTAGGTAACATGCTAAGAAGGATGACTGCCTTGCTGCTGTTTTTCAGACCTGCATGAATACACATGGTGACTTGTTTTTAACAACCAGGCCTTGTGAAAAGTCCTAAATGCATGAAATCTGATGGCTACAGCATTGGCTTTAAGGCTGTAGCTCTGCTGAGGGCTACTTTTGTGAAATTATATGGAAAAGGCACTGGTATAGGGGAACAGCAAGGAGCATTAAAAAAATTGGCTTCCAGATAAATAGCTGGCTAGTACTAGTCTCATAACCTCTCTAGGCCGGGATTTCCCTCCTCTGCAAAATGAGGATAAAAACACCTACCCTGCCTTATTTACAAGATTGTTTAGGATAGCTAAAGGTCATATGTACAGCAGCATCTTATGAAGAAAAAAGTGCTACAAAAAGCCAAGATGTTGTCTTGATTGCTAAAGTGTGGCCCAGAGGCATGGAACTGTTTTTGCAGGTGGGAAAAAGCATGTTTCTGTGCATCTGGTCTTCCCTTCACATTCGCCAGTGAGCCTCACTCTCTGAGAGTTATGAACACCTCACTGTTCAGAATGATTTAGAAAGTTGTTATCCTAGTTAAAGGATTGTTGTTCGCAAAGAAATGAGACACTGCATGTCTACAATGTATGGATGGAATCTATAGAAAAGGAAGGGGTTTTTTAATTGCTTTGTGCCGTGGCCTTGCTTGTCCCTTTTCGTGATAATATCAAGGATGGGGAAATTGTCACATTTCTTATCAATTTTCTCCCAGAATAACTGAAGAAAGAGATGATTTTTCTGGTACTTTGGATCCCAGTAAAATGGTTGTGTGTGTTCATAACCCAAGGGAAATTTCATGAGCCCAGAAATTGGCATGAGAGTGACATTCATGAGGAAAGGGCTGTAGTAGATCTCAACTGGCTAACCCTGGATATTTTAGGCTTTGAAGAATTTCTTTATTGTATTGGTGCACTCCACCATACTGAACACAGATGAGAGGGGGCATGAGAGATATAAGTAACTATAAATAAGTGAGGCGTTTTGAGTTGCATACCACAGTGTCAAGAGCCATGTGCAGCTGGAAGAAGCCCCCAGTTGATGTTAACAACCCTGCCTCACAAGCATTACTGAGAAACCACTGAGAAGGCAGGGTGTGTTGATCTCACCTAACCCTGTGGTTCTCAGCCAGAGATGATGCTTCCATTGCCCTTCGCTTAACAAATATTTGACAAAGTCTGGAGAGGTTTTAGTTGTCAGAATTGGAGGTAGAAGAAAGTGCTTCTAGCGCCCTGTGCATAGTCAGAGTGCTGCTAACTGTCCTACAGCATGTAGGAGAAAAATAAAGATTTATACTGAACTTCAAATGTCAGTTGGGAAACCATGAACCAAAGCTTTCTGCCTTCTCCATTTGTGGGTTTTGATATGGATTGCATCTCCCTCAGTGACTAACTGGCATCTAGATAACCCAGTGTTGAAAATCTTTCTAAAAATGTGTTGCTTGTTATTGGTAGTTTAATGGTTCAGTTTTTCATAAAATTCAGTCTGAGGAGTACCCCTTAATTTTGCACTTTCTATTGGAATATGAGATTTTTGCAGAAGAGTCTATGATTATTTAATACCACCTTTGAAAATAATCTGTTCTACTTCTGCACAGTTAAATATGTGACAGGAATGTAATATGCATAAGCAAACATTGGCCTCACCACTATTTCTTTGTTAGTTTGCAGGAGTCTGAAAAATCACAAAGATGGTACTGAACTTGAGCAATAACTAGTCCACCTCTTTTTCCCTCATTTAAAGATACTGATCTTAGGTGACTTGCTGGGTGTCATTTTTTAGAGTTCTTTAAAAAGAAATTCTACTCATATGTAAGGAAAAAATCAGCTTAAAATTCTTTAACAATATTATAGTTCAAGAAACTAAACTAGAATGTGAATAAACCATATTTTGAAAAAGAAGCCTAAAAGAGCATCTTTTTAGAGAAATTATGTGCATAATTGTCAGGTTAATTAAGCTTTTTTGAATAAAAATTATATCAAGTTAAATCTAAAAAGTGTTACATCAAAGAACCCTTTGGATATAAGACTTGCATCTTCACATTCTCTACAGTCAAAAACCTTACCATTTTGCAATATTTCTTTTTTAGTCATACATTCTCACATATTTTCATGCTAAGTAGCGCTTTTATTTTCCATTTTTAATACTATTTAGTTTTAGCCTTACACAGCCAAGTGATAAATTACTGGGGAGCTCATTATATGGAGAAAATTGGTATTGTTGGAGAATAAAGTGTATAAAAATGGAAAGACTCAGTGGTGTCAATTTTAGACCATGTCTACTTTCTGTAACTTCATTATTGTTAATTTTTCTATGTTGGATAGAAAAGAAACAAAACTTTAGCTAAACACATAGGTTATTGGCAAATGAAAATTAATTTTCTTTGGTGTTATTACTTTTGAGTTACTCATTTTTATTATCTTGAGATTTTCATATATGTCACACTCTCCAAGCTGTTACCAATTAAACTTAAAAGTAATTTGCAACTATTCCTAATGTTCTAGAAAAGAGCTTTTAATGTTACAGAAACAAAAAATTCTGATTAAATATGAAATTATAAAGCAGGTCATAAATTTAAAATGTTTCTAAGTACTGGGCAATGTTGAGGAAAATGTAGGTCATTATTAAGAAGTAAAGTTTCTTTAGATCAGTGAGCTGTGGACTAATAAATATTTCTAAATAATTTTTTTAATCTTTTGTCTTTTTTGTTTTTTAAGTGTCAAAATAAGAAAAACCAAACCCTGGGGAAAATTATATCATTAATTTTAATAAGTCATAGCTGACAGTGTTATGTTTTACTCATTATTGAGAATAAATTATTTTAAACCATATTCTCTCTTTAACTGATGATAAAATATAATTTAAACAAGTAACATTTTAAGTGCTAGTTATATTCTTTGACAAGAATTAGCATGGTCTTAACAAATAAAAATCAGGATACAAAATTAATTTTTTAATTTGTTATGTTACTGACTTGGAAGATTATAATATCCTTTTTCTTGCATAGCTTTAATAAATATCTGGACTATCTGTTCCCATTGTGCTCAAGGATAACAATCTCTTCACTTTTTTTCCCATCTGATGATGATAAGCACTATCAGTTATCAAGAGGAAATAACAAAAAGCTGAAATCTGCGCATTAGCTTTCCCTATGTTGATCCATTGCCAAAGAAACCAGAAATAAATTTACAGAAAATTCTTTCCGCTTATTTAATAGTACACATTTTATGGAAATGCCACTGAGGCTTTTTAATAAAACTCTATTTTTACTTTCACGGATGGGATATGTTCACTGAGACTGAGACCAGAAATTTTAGCAAATATGTATGTATGGAAAAGCTCCAAGTACGTTTGTGTATAAAATGCAGTTTGAATTTTCACAAGCTTCCCCTTTCCAAGGGGTTTAATTCATTTGCCATTCAGTCATCACTGCTTTCCCTGTGATTTTTATGAAATTAAAAAGAAATGAGTCCTTCAGGTAATACCTCCCACTTCCTAAATTTCAGTCGAAATACCTAGTGTATTTCCTCCCCTAATCTTAACCAAAATAGTTGTGCCTGATATGTAGGTGGCACTAGGGAAATGTGACGATTTGTTGTCCTTTCAGAATAAAATTATAATTATAATCTAAACTGTACCTATTGGTCACAGTTTTTCTTCTACCCAGTTGGGATAGACTATTGGACATCATGTAGGCGATCTTGATTAATCTCATAATAGGTGAATTGGATAGTTACATTCTGGACTGAAATAAAGAGAGAATATGGCCATAGGAAAAATGTAGGCTTTAGTATTTTTCAATGAGTTTCTTTCTCCCTCATCCCCTGTCTCTCACTGAATGCTCTGATCCCCACATGGGTCACTAAATAGGGAGAAATGGTAAGATTGATATCAAATTGCTTTTTCCTCATTTGCATGCTGTGTGCCATGGGCAGTTTAACCCATGCAAATTAGAGCGGCCATGCTTTTGCAGAACTGCTTCCCTCTGCCTTGCTCTGAAAGCATGTAAGATGAAAGGTAGTCAGATACTGAGCACACTGCCTGCAATATGCCTGGTGATTAAATACCACATCATCACATCCATAAGGCTAAAGGCTTCATCATACTCATGGAAAACTGAAAAATTATCTCTTCCTTTGGGTGTTTGCACATTCATTTCAGTGTTCTTTGCCAGGGTTTCTGCCAGGTGACTGCAATTTGAAACTTAAAATAATGAAACACCTATCATTTTGGAAGAGATCTCTCTCTCTCTCTCTCTCTTTCTCTCTCTCTCTCTCTCTCTCTCTCTCTCTCTCTCTCTCCCCCCTCTTCTGATTAACTCAGCTCTGTGGCTATAAATTTCAGTGGCAGTAGGCTTTGGGGTGGGCCATCATTTGATGTGGTGCCTCTGCTCTCCAGGGAATGATGACACACTACGTGAACCTTGAGAATTGCTCTGTTCTATGACTGATGCTAGATTTTGGTACAGTAGCAATAATAAAATGGGAAAGGCCATCACTGTGGCTCGGGCAGGAGTCCTAGAATCCTGGGGAACAATTTATAACTCTGTGCTTTTCCATTAATTTTGAGGGTGATGATCTTCACCTTCTCAAACTAAAATGAAAGAACAACGTTTGTACATATGTGTATGCACACAATACAGCATACACATACATAGCACATATATTTCAGAACTGCAGAGTGTCAGTCTAGCTATTGGTTTTGAACAAAGTTTAAATTGATATCATTTTTCTTTTCTAGCTTCTACATGCTATAAACATTGTTTTCTTAGTTCCATGCAGTAACTATGTTTGTCACACTTCTCGATAGAGCTTTTCTCTTGTGCTTAAGCTGGAGCACTGACTGGCTGAGAGATATAATTTTGGTCGTATCTACAGTTCATGTGCTGAACAAACTTTCCTCTTACAGGATCTGACGGCATTAGCCAAAGAATTAAGAGAACTACGGATTGAAGAAACAAACCGCCCACTGAAGAAGGTGACTGATTATTCCTCCTCTAGCGAAGAGTCAGAGAGCAGTGAGGAAGAAGAGGAAGATGGAGAGAGTGAGACCCAGGATGGGACAGTGGCTGTCAGTGACATACCCAGACTGATGTAAGAAGGCTACTTTTTTCTTCTCTTCTTTCTCTTTCTCCTTCTCCTTCTTTGTCTCCTCCTCCTCCTCTTTTTTTTTCAGTGTCAGAAAGAGTTTATGTTGCCCAACCTGGCCCCAAAAGCAAGTGATCCTCCCACCTCAGCCTCCTAAGTAGCTTGAGACTTGAGAAGTGTGCCACTGTGCCCAGCTGTAGACTACTTCTTAAATGTAGACCAGAAGGGACTAGGTCTCCAAAATAAAAGAACAAGAAATATGAGCTAAATGTAAATTGCATATGGGCCACTGGCAAGATAAATTGATTCTGAGGACTTAGGTTCTTACTACACCATAGTTCTGTAAAGTCTCTCTCCATAGAGAGAATCACTTAGAAAATGTAGCATTTCTGGGACTGTTATGCTTTTCCTACTCAATGCCATTGTATTGACTGTCCTTTTGGTAACTCTTCCTTGGTTCTTTTCATCTCTGAGGCAAACAGTATTGTTAGCCAGGCTGTTGGCAATACCTTTCCCCCTTGAACTGAAAGAGTGAAATCATAAAAAATGAAATGTGAGGATTAAAAAAAATTAGGAGACATATGTTCCAGCAATACCACTACTACAATAAGTAAGGAAAAATACACATGGCAACATGGGTTATCAACAAAAAAAATCAGGAATCGGTCATTCAGAAAAACTTACGTTTAATGTAAATGTACATGCTATGATTTTTCTACTTCATTCTCTTTGTTTTCTCTTTTACTTTTTTCCTGTAGCTAGTTTCTGCATCACATATTTTCTGTCACTCTCTCTCTACAGTCTTCTTTTTGTATATTTATATCTATGTCTATGCCTACCTATCTTTCCCTTCGTAGTTATAACATTTACTTTGTCCTTTTTTTGTAAATGTAAGCAGGAAACTCATTGGGGTTTCTTTTTATTCATGATAATGGATCCTGTGGGAATGTCCCCATCTTCTCTTGCTTCCTTAACTAAACCTCCAAATAAAACACAGGAGGTTATTGCCCTGGTTTATCACAGCTTTGCTAGAATGCATTGCTAACTTCTCCACCTTCTCTGTTTATTTACATCCATTTCGTTGGCTTAGCTACTAGTATTAATCAACAGGCCATATTTATTCTATATAGAGGTCCCATAACACTATATATTATTGTCCTGCTCAGGGGTTAGAGAGACAGGGCTGACCCATCTTCAGGGAATCTCATCCATTGATCAACCATTTTTACACGCAAGCAATTCTGAGAGACAAGCCAAGTTATCATTGCTGAAATTGTTATTTCAATAAATTGTTATTTTCTGTTGGTTCCCCAGTTATAAAGTTATAACTACTAAGAGAAAGATGGATAGGCATAACCATAAATATGGTAAAATGTGACATTTTGAAACAAATTGTATTAAATTGCTCTTTTAACGGAAATAAAATTGTACTAGAGGCAAAATCACTAATCCAGAACATTTCTGTAAAACATACTGGCTCTTTCAGTTTTTGTCTTGATTCAGCATTATTTAATTCTTCTAACAGATGTTCAGAATTCTCTTTAAGCAATGAGCATACAAACTATCGGGATAAGAATACATTATAAAAGATGGTGAAAATTTCTCTTTTGTGTTAGGCACCATGCTGAAGGCTTTGAACATTCAAAAAGTACATCCTTGCATTCTGCCTTCCAAAAATTTATATTGTATTCTAGTTGCACAGAGGTAAAATTTTACATGGGAAAATGAAAGGCTAATGTAAACATTTGGAGAAATAACCAGTTTGAGAACAAATATTATGTAGCATTTGGTTTTTAAGTTTCCAGTCATATTTTTCAAAGCTGTGAATGGTGTTCGCCCACCTTCTCAAGGAAGATTTGGAACTTCCACCCCACTGCAGAAAGATACCCACGTTCCTAAAAATTTCCTGAACAAACCACGTTGTTCTCCTCTCTGCTGTCTGGCGCTTTCTGATCCTTTCAGGTGTTATCTACTCACAGCGCCATCTGCAGAAGTACAGCCTCTGCCCTCTTCTGTGCTGCTATCATATCTCCTGTGCCTTCCTACATTTTCATATAGTGCCTTGAATCAGGAATATTTATTATGTTTTTCTCCCTCACTGGGCTGTGATACCTCTGAGGGTGAGGAAAGTGTCTCACCCATCTCTCTACTCTGCATGCCTCACATCATGTCTGGAACAGAATGGCGTTTCAGTGACTTTGATTTACATTTAATTATGCTGAAGTGACATTGCAAGTCCTGGCTTCAAAAAGTTTATATTCTAATCCAAAGGAAAGATGTGTATATAAATAATAATACAGAAAAGAGCATGGGTTGTGATTAAAATTCCAGATGGAGAGTTGAAGTAAAGGTACAAGAAGATGAGCTTGGTGGAAGTATAGGGTGTAGGGGTAAGAGCTGAGCAAACCGGATCAACAAATTGCCAGTGGGAACTGTTGAAGGTATTGTGAGCTGAGGAATGACATGATCAGTGCTACATATGAAAAAAATTGTTTCAGCAAGATGATTTGGAAAGAGAACAGATGAGACACTGGTAAAGCAATTTAAGGAGCTATCACTACAATACAGGTAAGAAATAATGAACCAAGGCTATCATGGAATATTTACAGAGGAAACAAGACTTGACATGATTCTTGAAGAATTGGTAAATAGATTAAAATAACCACCCAGTAAAGAACATTTAGAATATTTTATGATCTATCTTATATACTCAGGGGAAAAAGAACACAAATGTAGTGTGTGTGTTTATTCCAATCTGGTCAATACTATATAGGATGAACATTCATAGGCATATAAAACAGTCTTTTCTTCTCCAACTTGATAGTTGTATCCCTAAGAAATTTCACACTATTAAAAATCCATTATTTGAAAGATCCATTATAAGACAGTTATGTCTTTAGGAATAGAATATTTAGAGGCAAAATTTCTTTTCATATAAATTCTATTACTTTTATTTTCTTTTAGGATAAATTTTTGTATTTGGTGCTGTATTTTTTAGAGCTGAAAATAAAAATATATTGTGCAGTTTGCTCCCATATAATGTACAAAAAAGAGCTTCTCAGAAACAGCCCCAGCCTTTTAAACAAACTGCTATCGATGCCAGTGTTCATACTAAAGCTTTTTTTCTATGTACACATTCATGTTTATTGTATAAGGTATAACCTATAAGAGTGCACGTAACTTTGTGTTCTCCAACCAGTTGTACTATGTCCCAGTGCCTCATGCATAGAAAAATAACAAGTGGGGGGAAATAGGTTAAAATTACGGAAGTGATTCCCTCAGGATCGTAGAGTTCTGAGGGACTTTGTTTTACACACATTTTCAATTATATGATGGACACATTTTAAAATCAAGAAAAAACAAAAGCTTTCATAGCATAGGAAGAAGGGAAGGAAACATAAATTGATTAATGTGTCATACCAAGTAAGCCAAAGAGGGATCCTTTCGTGTTAGTTTCTGCCCTCAGATATCAGCACACACTTCTAACAGTATATGTAAGGCACAATCTTGGTCATTAGGACCATCTACTCTAGTGCAGTCAGTGAATTTTATACAGTCTTACAAAATGGCATCTGGACAATAAAGGCTGTATATGCTTGTGTTTCCTCTTATCTTTTCTCACTAAAGAGCCATGGTTCTGACCCTGTTGCTTGCCTCTGGTCTGCTGTAGCACCTCTCTTGTGCTAAGTTCTCTGCTTTCCAGCCCTTGTTCAGGCTCTGGCCTGATTAATGTTGGAGAAGGGTCCTGCTCTACCTCTAGTTACCTATGATCTACTCCATCACCTGGGCCCATGCTGACCTCTAACATGCTCCATCCAAATTCATGCCTTCCTCGGCCCTACTGTGGGAGTCCCTTCTCCCACACTGTACCTTTCCTTGGGATGATCCCTCCCTCTGTCCTTCTTTCTCACTGATGATCTGCTTTGTCTTTGTATATTTGTGATCCTTTTCCTCATATGGATGCTAAGTTCTTTGGGACCATTTCTAGTCCAGCTTTTATATCGAATTCCCAGTGCCAAACCAAGGGCCTTAGAGGTAGCAGGTGCTCAATAAGCATGTAGTGAATTGAATTAAATCCATACCTCCAGGAACACATTGACAAATCCAATTAGAGAAAATTATTGCTGTAAACCTGCAGCCTAATTACAATAAATTTCCTGTAGTTTTCCTTCAAATCAGTGTAGGTTTTTTGTTTTGTTTGTTTTGATTTGATTTATATTTTCAAACCTTTGTTTTTTGCAAGGATTTATAGGATTTTGGGACAACGAGTTTTTTCCTATTCAGTTCCTACATTGGAAAAATAATTTTCAGAACAAAAGATTGCCTTAACTATAAAATACTATAATTGCCATTTTAGCCTTGGTGGAATTTTTTTTAATTGCCTCTTTTCCTTTCTTTTATTGTGAATAGATTTAGATTCTAAAATAGTTGTAGATTTACAGAAAATTGAAGAGATATGACTAAGGGTTCTCTGTTGTTATACCCATCACTTTCTCCCTACATGCAGTTTCCTCTGTTGCTAGCATCATAAGTTATAAGTAATGGCATCAAATTATAAGTAATGAGCCAATAATGATATATTATTAACTATAGATTATGGCTTAGCTAGATGTTCTTACTGTTTAATGTTCTTTTCCTCTTACAGAATCCCATCCAGGCCGCCACATTATATTGAATTTTCATATCTTCTTTGATTCCTCATGGCTCTGACAATTTCTCAAACTTTCCTAGGTCTGATGAGCTTTGCAGTTTTTTGTTTGTTTGTTTGTTTGTTTCATTAAGTTTATTGGTACAATTTTTAGGTGTACAGCGCAGTTACACTTATCATTGGGATGTTGTACCTTTACTTGATGTATCTTGGTTCTTATTTTTTCCCCATTCCCCTGCTTCCCTTCACCCCCCTTCCCTATTTACGAAGACTTTGTGTCCATTTTTCTTTTCCTTTTCTCGTATTTTTTCTTTTCCCTTGCAGTTTTGAGGAGTACTCATTAGATGTGTGGTAGAATGCCCCTGTGCTGGAATTTCCAAGTTTACTTAGTCAAGGCCTGTCTCCGCCCACCCTGTCCTTCCTCACTTAAACTGCTCATACACTTGTAAAGCAGTTAGTCTCTTGTCATAGTCAACATCCTTTCCTGAGATTCTCCAATCTCCTCACTGATTTTTTAAAAAAATTTATAGACATTAAGGTTCACTCCATACTGTAAAGTTCTCTGATATATCTGAACAATTTTTCATTCTCCTGTGAAAAGTACCTAATTATAAAAATTATGTGGGCATATCTGGTGAACCAAATTCTTCAGGACATTTAAACATGCTGATACTTATTCTTTATAGCTATTTACTCATCAATTTGCAGAAGAGCTATTTGACAATAAGCTTGAATGAAACTTCCACTAGAGGCATTAAACAATGCCTCTGGCCCCAGAGCTTCAGTGATGTAATACACATTTACTTGGTGCTACTTACATGCCACATGGTGCTTGGTACTGAAGTTACCACACTAATTAGTACACTAATTTGATCTGATCACCATAGGCCTGTGTACTAAGCACAGTGGTTCCAGTGGTAGAGTTGTACAGAGGACGACAAGAGTGGAGTGGAGATGGACTTGATTCTTCCCACTTGAGCTGGCATGGGCTTAGGGATGCCTGAACTGATGCATAATGGATGAGTTGGCCAAGAGAAGGCAAATAGAAAATAACCTTCCAAGGAAAGAGGACAGACTAAAATCGCGGAGTTTTACAGTATAGTGTGTATAGGAAAGTACTATAAGCTAAATGTTGCTGGTTAGAAGTGGCAGGCAATGTGCAGGATTTGATTTTTAAGTAGGGTTAGAGAAAAAGGCAAGAACCAATAAGGGAAGATCTTTAAGCCACCTTAAAGAGCTTCAGGTTTGTCCCGCAATTAATGGGGAGCTAGGGAAAGTTGAAAGCAGGAAAGCGACATGGTCAGGTGTGCGTTTGCAACAGCTCATTCTGCAACTGTGGTGAGTGGATACGAGGGAAGCAGGCCTGGAAATGGAGTGGGGACAGGAAGAAGACAATTGTACAGGTAATAGAGGAAGCAGACCTCACTGGGACAGTCACCAAAATAAAATATTTGGGACGTGCTTAGGAGTTAGAATAAGAAGCATCTAGATTGAACGTGGGGAATAGATGAGAAAAAGGAGCCCAGAATGGCTATGGAGCTTCTTGCAGGATAAATACATGGCGTGGAATGCCACTCCCTGAGATCCAGTAATACAGGATGGAGATGATGATCTCACTCAGCACCCAGGTAGAAATAGCCAGCAGGAAGCTGAGTGAATAAGTCACAGACTAAAGAGATTAGCTGTGTTTATTTAGGATTATCCTGTAAATGGGTGATGATTATAATAAAGGTCATAGATAAGAGCGTGCCAAAGAGTTATGCAAAGTGAAGCAGAATCCTAGAGATGGCTCCCATTTAAGAAGAATCAGTGAACACAATTGGCAGGGTGAAGGAGGGGAAAACCAGAGAAAGCCTACATATTACAAAAACCAGGGGGAAAAGGAGGACAGAGGGGGATGATCAACAATGGTAGACATAAGGACTCCTCTTCGGGGATGTAAAAATGTTCTACATTCCCCAAAACAGGAATTGTGGGCCGTGCTTTGCCTCTTTAAAGGAAATACATAGAGAAATGATTTAGAACATGTAGAAATTTGTGGGTAGCAATCAAAACTCATTACCTAGTATCAGACAAAATGGTAACAGCAATATGAATGATGTGAGCAGTTATAGAAAGTACAGAGAATAAATACATACAAAAGATTCATAACAGACCAATTCTACATAAGAAGACAAGTTTAGGCTAAGAGGAAATGCTCACCACTGTAGAGGCAAATCAACTGGGCAAGAAATACACATTATCACCTTTTATTCTGTGTAAGGAATATTAACTGGTAGAAATAATATAAAATAAAACTCAAAACAACCCAAATTGCTCATCATAAAATGTAAAAAAAAGAAGCAGTTTTAGCTTATAAAATTCATAGTATAAAAATTGACACATGGGGCTGGGGATTTTGCTCAGCAGCACAGCATCTGCCTGGCAAGCACAACATCCCTAGTTCAATCCCATGTACACCCCCCAATAAAAAAATGACCCACAGAAAATAGTCTAAGTAAAAACATTCTAGTGAAGTTAAAACATTGTACACTGTCAAATTGGGTGTGGACTGATAATTGACTTACAAATCAAATTTTCTCCATAACATTTAAACATCTAAAATGGTCCAGAAAAAAAACTGAATTTGGTAGATATAGTGACGACAGAAGCCTCTGAAAGAGGATATGGGCAAAAAAAATTGTTGTATCGAATCTTTGCTATAAAAGTCTATGGGAGTTAGGCTCATGATGATTGTTTCAGTAAAATAATAATATAATGCAAAAATTGGGGGAAGAGTTTAATTGAAATAGGTGGGAAATGAATTGAGGAATTAGTTCTAAAAATACTTTTTCATAATAATTCACCCATACTCACATATTTCTGATTAAAATGTTTATGTAAATTCAGAACAATGTCAGGATAAAAGTAAGGGAAGCCAAAATAGCCTTACCCTGTGTACTTAATAGGATTGTTTGTCGTAACAGAGAACCAGCCTACACAGTATCAACCTGGCAGAGGCCACTAAATCAACCTGGGCCCCTGAGAGTGACAAAGAATGACCAGCTGCCAAAGAGGAAAAGGAATTCCTTCCTGGGAAGGCTCTTGTTATTTACTTCATTTACTGATTTGTTGGCTTTACCCCATCTTGTTTCAAACAAGAATTTAAGACAACTAAAGAAAGGAAAGAATCAAATATAATTAAATTTCAAATAAATGGGTAAAGAAATCATAGTTTTGAGGCCCATTATGATTTTTGAATCTATCAATATGCCAGAAATAATTGCAACAATTAATTTTTCCATGTTTCTGAAACACTATTAATACCTCCTTTCTTGGACTAAACTATTGAAAATAAAAATACCTGGTTAAAATTTCTTCTGAAACACATCAGTTCTAGCCAATTTAGATTAGTTCAATCCACTGCTCAAGTTTATTAATTTCAAAGTAAATATCCTGTTATATATTTCCTTATCTGGATGCATCCTCTTATCTTTTTTTACCCTATTTCAGATGAAATATGTCTGTTCTGCCCCAGAGATGGCATAAATCTGATAAATCTGCTTAAGCATAAATCTGTTTCTTGGAGTAAATATTTCATCAGGTCCTTAGACTTTGATGAAATCCAAGAGGCCACAGATGCTTTTCAAATATTTGAGAAACAATTAAAATTAAAGAATGAAATGATAAAAACTGCAGTTAATATACCTAAAATTATTGATATATCTTGCTTTAAAAAAAATTATTTGCCACCTGCCTTGCATGCACAAAGTCCCGAGTTCAATCCCCAGCACCAAA